TTCCGACCCAGGTTGCACGACTTTTTACCCACGACACAGTTTTGTTCCCAGGCTTTATCGCTCTGGGGCCGGTTGTTCAAAGATGGGTTAGCACTAACCCTCTGTTAAAATTTAACTCGCTGTTTTAGTTTGTGTAGTTCTGCATCTGTTATTTCAAAACTTCAGAGAAGTGAACTCTTATCGATCCAGACAAGATTTCTGAAGAAACATTTCCAAATTTGTAGACAAGCTGTCGCAGTGTCGGGAAGTTTGCTTTGAATTTTAAGTTAACTTATAGGGTTACGCTAACCAGCTTTGAACACCCCTGCTATAAACAATGCGGCAAACTCAGACCATATATGGGCATATACTTTTTCAGCTCCAGGCCCCCAAAAGCTCACGTCAAAAATATATCGACTGGAAACCAGTCTGCTCACGACACACGACCAAAAAACTCGTGTATAACTACATGAGGTAGAATGTTTAAGATACTCGCGGGTGACCGGAAATCGATGACCGTATCAAGCTATTGTTCTTGGGGTTTCTAAATGCTGCTTAATCTCCCAATGGAATGTTGATTTACAACTGTGCAGGAAAAGTAGAGGAGCGTTTTGCCCGGAAGACATATTCCTTTCTCTAGAACGTTCTTCCAATGAGCTTTCAAATCAGTGGCGCACAGTTAATATACTGATTTACTATTAAAACCTGGTTGAGATTCACACTAAATGCTGCTTAATCTCCCAATGGAATGTTGATTTACAACTGTGCAGGAAAAGTAGAGGAGCGTTTTGCCCGGAAGACATATTCCTTTCTCTAGAACGTTCTTCCAATGAGCTTTCAAATCAGTGGCGCACAGTTAATATACTGATTTACTATTAAAACCTGGTTGAGATTCACACTAAATGCTGCTTAATCTCCCAATGGAATGTTGATTTACAACTGTGCAGGAAAAGTAGAGGAGCGTTTTGCCCGGAAGACATATTCCTTTCTCTAGAACGTTCTTCCAATGAGCTTTCAAATCAGTGGCGCACAGTTAATATACTGATTTACTATTAAAACCTGGTTGAGATTCACACTAAATGCTGCTTAATCTCCCAATGGAATGTTGATTTACAACTGTGCAGGAAAAGTAGAGGAGCGTTTTGCCCGGAAGACATATTCCTTTCTCTAGAACGTTCTTCCAATGAGCTTTCAAATCAGTGGCGCACAGTTAATATACTGATTTACTATTAAAACCTGGTTGAGATTCACACTAAATGCTGCTTAATCTCCCAATGGAATGTTGATTTACAACTGTGCAGGAAAAGTAGAGGAGCGTTTTGCCCGGAAGACATATTCCTTTCTCTAGAACGTTCTTCCAATGAGCTTTCAAATCAGTGGCGCACAGTTAATATACTGATTTACTATTAAAACCTGGTTGAGATTCACACCGTGAAACTCATGACTAGCACAAGCATATAAGAAAAGACATATACCAAATGGTAAAAAAGATGTAGTGCAGTGCGCGATATAATTTTCAACCTTGCATGCAAGCCCAAAGGTAAAGTTTCCTTCTGAAATACAGGTGTGAATAATATACGCTTTGATTTGTGGAAAAGATAACGTACATTCAAGCCTATAGTTTTCGTATATCGCAATTCATCTCGCCTGAACTAGCTCCGTTGTCAATGGTCATGCATTGCTGTATAAAATTCTTTGTTCCGTTGTCAATGGTCTTTGTTCCGTTGTCAATGGTCGTTGTCAATGGTCATGCATTGCTGTATAAAATTCCATCACCGATAATGGACCATTAGAACATCGCCGAAGAATTGCGATATATGAAAACAGTAAGCAGAAACCGCACAGTAAATGTTCTGAGATTAATGGCCTCATTAATTATACCTGACTTGGGAAACTGAAGGGATCTCAGCGTTTCCGGACGTCCGTAATGACTTTTAAAAATAATGTGTCTTGAGTTTTTTCTCATAATACTCATTTTCTCTGTATGGAACGGAAGGTTTCATCAGCCAGTAATATGCTGTTCGTTTCCGCGTGAAAAATATGCGCTAATAATGAACTTCCCTTTTCTCACTGAGGTTCTACCTTCTGAAAGTCGTCAATATTTCCATGTGCGAAATCAGATAAGTAGGGAGCAATATGTTCAAGACCCTTGAATCAAAGAAGTGCTCTTAAATACTTTAAGTGGTAGTACTTATGAACTGATTTATAGGATACTATATATAAATACGTTGCACAGCCAACAACTGCTTCGTACCCAGATGCTGTATTATTTATTTTTTGGCTATCCCATCAGCTCCTTCGCGCTTCTACAAAGAGACGCCTGGGTACGAGACAGCAGTAGCAATGTACCCCATTTCTCTATATCAATATATATATATATATATATATATATATATATATATATATATATATATATATATATATATATATATATATATATATATATATATATATATATATATATATATATATATATATATATATATATATATATATATATAGATAGATAGATAGATAGATATATAGATATATAGATAGATATATAGATAGATATATAGATATATATATAGATAGATATATAGATAGATATATAGCTATATATATAGATAGATATATAGATATATAGATATAGATATATATATTGATCTATAGATTGGCAATCTGCAGTGAGGCATTTGTCTTCAACTTGATGACTTTTTCCCATTTTAAAGACATGCACGCAGAGAAATAAAATCGTACATGTCTAATGTTTGTGCAAAGATTTAAAATAACACAGAATGGGAACGATTCTCGAGAGAACTGACTTGGTTGGTGGCATATCGTTTGCCCGGGTTCATGAACATCTGATTCCCTTATTCAAATCACTAGAAATTCATTGTATTTCAATTAATCATTAAAAATTTAAGCCACTTTTCCTCGTGCAAAAATTTTGTGACATAGGATTTTAAAATATTTCTGTTGGTACCGTTATGTAAGCAACGTTGTATAGAGCTGTGTCTTCTTACGCATCACATGTTATTTTTGCATATATACTCGTTCAGATTTTATATGACTAATGGAGAAGACATGTGGACAGCTATGGAATATTGAGCAGGCAAGTTAGCCTATTGCTACATGTTAATTGCTGATTGCTCCGACAGGTGTTTTACATAGATATCTTATATACACTAGATAGCGCATCTCTTTTAGTAAAATTGAAGCCAAGAATACTCCAGCGGTTACCCCCATTTGAATAGATGGCGGCCATGTTGGAGTTTCCCAATCGCTAATAAACGCTTAAAAAACAACAATAACTTTCATCATTTGAACAGTTTGAAAATGTATTTGGAATAGGTTTAACTTAATGTTTAAGTTCCCTGTTTAAGAAATAGAAAACATACGAGTCTTCTCATTTCATGGGAATATCCTGAGTCTGCAATCACGGCTTCAGTTTTTGAATTGCAGAATAATTAGATGCACTATCTAGTGTATATAAGATTCTATGGTGTTCTATGGTTAGATACTTGTATACATTGAATAAGCTTGAGAAGTATTTTCAAAATTCCCATAGTTCTCTGTTGCAACATGTTACACTGTACCGTTAGTCCCTTAACTCAATTTAACCATATTTCATTCGATGGCCACAACTGAAGATTGCAGATTTCTCGTGTTTGCAGTGAACTCGCCGTCGCGAATTCTTTCGACATTGTTCCAATTCAAAATCAAAATAATTAATAGTTGAATCATTGGGATCGAATAGTGGAACAATATATACTGTTATTCAATTCTCGCCTCTTAGCCAGCTTTATCCCCTCCCTTTCTGAAATGGTTAATTAACTCTCACTTATCTGCACGAGAAGGCTGAAGCTGTCAGCAATCGTCAATGCATATCACGGTACTCAACCAAATTGTTTGCAACATCAACAATTATAAAGTGTCTTTTAAAACATCAACATTTATATGCGACATTGTGACGCTTTTCAACTTCAAGTGGAAACAATTAACATTTTACGAATATTTCACTGAATATATGCTTGCACTGTAAGTGATATATGATCCCAATGGTCTCCTCCAAAATGTGACACAGAGTTTTCAATGAAAATTGTATCTTCCAAAAAATTTTACAATGCGACCTTAAATATAGTTTGGATGAGATTCATGAGAATACCTCTTTTCTAATTATACAGCATATGTCAATTAGTATTGTTATGAGATTTGGTACCACCTACGCCGTATAGCAGGAAAAAACGTGCGCCAATATTTCACGATGTTTACGAACAAGTGAGTTATATAATGCATAATGGTTTCAATATTTTCATTATAAGCACTGATGTTGTATTTAACAGATCTACTTGGCTGTATATCACGTTCCTGCATGTGTATGTTTGATCGAATGGAACTTTAATTGTTTCTTATATTTTTTTGTTGTATGTTGAATAAAACCGCAGCCTATATGACAGGATGTTTGTGCTGCCAAATCAGTGAAGCTACTCAATGCATTGATTCAAAGGAATTTCTACAGTGTGCGGGTTGTTAGTTGTGAATCCCGTGATTTAATGTATCTTCATGACATATTTCCTTGCGTGATATCGCTGTATGGAAGGTTGTTTTCACTGCATGCATGGTGTTAACCTCGGATAACATGTATGGCAAGCCTGCGCTGTTTTGCCCCTCTACATTTCTACTCCAAGAAAAAACACTAGAAGTTCAGTTTCCTATCGCCTCAAATTGAACCGCAGACGGTGTGGACGCGCAATAGAACTTGAGATATTCTAATGTTTATCTCATCAAGTAACTCCAACGGTAGAAAACATATATTATAACCTAACCTTGGTACCAGACAGTGACCGACCATTATCAATTCTATCAGACGAAGGAAATTAGCATAACTGGAAGACCATAACACAGGGATAATTTATGGAATTTCGGCGACATGGCACCTGGCCTTTGGCAGCAGCAAGAGCTGCTCGAGAAAGACAGTAAGTTTGGAAGTTACTAGTAACATATTATAGCAGCTTAAATCTGAACCTCAAGATCTTCCGGGGAACAAAGTTCTCTTTGAATTATTAATCACTGTATTAGCTGCCTACCTGATATTTTTATGCAATTAGAAATCGATATATCACATGCTAATTGTAGACATTGCTAGTGTTTATTGTGTGCGCGCTTACTAGCTTAGTGATGTCGAGAATGTGTTATTTAAACGATTTCGTTCAATGAGAGTACAATTGTTATAAAAAAATTTCAGCAGTTCACTCTCCTGTAATTTTCTGGTAATTCTTGTAATTTTCCATGGCTCGTTTCAGTCCGAAATGTATACATAATCGTCTTTCAATTAAAACTATTGGTTCTGCATCATTAAAATTTCAAATTAAATCATTAAATAAGACCCCCTCTAGCTAAAGCCGTTTAGAAATTTAATTATGAAGTATCAGGCCTTGTATATTGTTTCTCGATTCTGTACCAAACGGCTTGGCAATCATAAGCGCGAAGAAAGGGAGCGTTAAATATGCTAATGAGTATGATAATGTACAAATTTTATCGTGTAGCTAAATATATAGGCATGTTAAATGGATGTGTACATTCTTTCGCAGCAACTATGTTTGAGCCAAACAGTTACGGAAGAGGTTATTTCGCTGGCCTCAGAGTGACAAAACGTAGTAAAGCAACGGTTTTACTAACACTAACACTATTCCAAACACCAACCCTAACCGTAACCCCAACACTATATAACCCTAACCCTAACCTAACCCTACTCCAAGTTTGTTTCTAAAGCAATCTTGAAGAAAAAATTTTTGACGAAATGTCATTCTGAGGTCAGCGAAATAACTTCTTCCAACAGTTACATGTAATATCATTTTCACTAATAGAGGTCAATTATAACTAGGATTTCCTGTTATTGTTTGAATTGCGATTTGTTCATACTGCGCATTGCCCACTGCATACTTCACATATAGACCATTGCACTGGAATTTTTTTTCAAAATTCTTGCTATGGATAGTATGGATCTTCGTTGAAAATAGTATGGAAATCCAATTGTCATACTAATTGCAATTTCCATACTAAGACCCTCTTTACACGTGCTGATCATGATTTCAGCCCAGGTTTTTAGTGCATTTATACATGATGCATGGTAAACTTCGTCATTCATGATTAATTTCTTGTCAGCTAATATGCCATATACAGGGTGGTAATGATCCAAAAAAGATAATCCAACTTCGTGTGTTAATTATTACCAGAGCGTGACTTTGTGCCAAAGGGCCCCCCGCTTTAACTGGAGCAGGGCCCCTGGTCCTGCCCAGGTATCATTAGCCTGATCTTTATTCGTATGAAAAAAAGGTAAATGGTTAAACGTAATATATAACTCACGATAACATGCCAATTTAGATTACCTTTTTTATACACCCTGTATCTAGTATGAGTATTTCTTCTACCTGGCCCCATTTTACATTTTTACAGACATATATATCTTCTAAACGTTTCTGGCCACCAAATCAATCAATTATTCTTACCGTTTTATTTCGTAATAATCTTCCATCCAATACTAATCAAAAGGAGAACTTCGGATAAGGTTTAAAAAGTTGAAAATTATGCATGTATCTTTCGTTAGAAATTCAGTTGATAACAACTACCACTTTTGGGACGTTTGTATAGTAGCATCCTCTGTTCCTGGGATCGATTCCGGCAATATGTAGTTTTCCGATTATATGAATTCCCTCTTGTTCACTTGTGAGAAGAGTGATTTCAGCTTCACTCCCCTCAACAAAAACAAATTCTGAAAAAATGCATAATTATTGAAAATCCAAGATCTAGATATGAATTACAGTCAAGATAAATATTTTATAAGGTTTGTGCTGTAGGCGTTCTCTGGGTATATCGTGTAGTCCAGTTTGTCCCTGCAGTATCATAGCCCAATAAGGGATAACCATAATCAGACGCAAGGCCTCAAACAATGATTGGGGGGGGGGAGCAAATACCACCCTTGTACCCTTTTGGTGGCGCCACTGACTCGTAACTATACTGGATCTTCTCTGAGACGGGAAAGAACAGTTTAGAAATAATAGACACGCCTAGTGTACGAAAAAGTTTAGTAATTTATTTTAGTCTGCTTGATGCCAGAAAATAGAGGTATTACAGGTTCCGGAAAGGCTGATTTATTGTTTTGTTACATATATTAATCCGCACAAGATCCTACTCACTGGGTTTATTTTTTAAATTACTTCTCCAAACAACAGGCAAATGAATTCTTCAAGAGGAATGCTGGTTGACAACGATGAGCTAGGGCAGTCCAGGTGAGAATAAATTAATAATGTGCATCATATTTGCATGTGTGCTCGCCAAATTAGTATATGACATTAATTAACGTAAGTATTTAAATTTTATCTATTATCGATATTTTTTCTATATCTAGCTACATCTTGTCAAGTCTTGATTTTCTTAATTTGACCAGGGGCGTATAGGCACGTAGACAGCCCAAAGCGATATGTTTCTATTTTGTGGGTCTGCGAAAAGCTATTTTATGCACGTACGCGCGTTTTATGATAACCTGAAAACCACAGATTTGGTACATTTTACGTCATAGATGAAATGTAATTTCCCCGGAAGGTTAGGTACTTACCTGAAGGGGAGATGTAGTTCTCCGAACTCCTTCGAAAGTCTGATACGAATAATACTAGTGCAGATCGCGGCGCAAGCGGTCTGGGTACCACGAATATAAATCAAGCCAACGCATGCGCATTTATTCTCTGAATGAGTGCCGTTGCTGAGGTCCAGTCTACATGTCAGTAGCTGGGTGGTGAAGGACTTGGAAATAAGGAAAAATTTCACTAGTGAATAGGTCCTTCCATATACGGTGGGGATCGTATTGTTCGTATCAGTCTTTGAAGGAGTTCGGAGAACTACATCTCCCATTCAGGTAAGTACCTGACCCTCCGGGGAAATTACATTTTTCCTGCACTCCTTCTCCGACTGATACTCACAATACTAGTGCAGACTTTTGGTAGCTACTGGCATGCTGAAATACTGTACAGTAACTGAAATTATATTTATCCCCAAGAAATTAAACAGTCATATTTAACTGCACATATGAAGTCTAAATGTACGTTAAAACAGCATGCACAAAAGCAGTCCGATCAGGACGTTTGTGCTAGTGTTTTCGAACACTTTGGCAGAACTCCAATCTCCTGCTTCCACTATCAGTTCCGACGACAGCCAAATGCATGGGTTGTTTGTGTCAGCCAACGTGGAACAGTCTGACTTGAGGCACTGTCATGGGGGGCAATGTAAGACACTAAAAGCTTACGAGCCTTCCAAATGTTCCAGTACGGACGCTATAAGCTCTTAAAACACTTCCTACACAGATAAAACAGTCTTGTGGAAATGAAGGGAGGTAGAACTTCCTCTGGGGTGACCAGGTTTAGAGTTTTTCACTTGCTCCGGAATCGAAAATTCCCAGGCATCTTCCTTCACCAACGAAAAATCAAGACCCAATGCTGCCAGTTCGTGAGCTCTTGCAGATGTTGTGAAAGCTAATAGGACAGTAAGCTTAAAGGTAAGCATCTTTAAGGAAATCTTGTTAAGAGGTTTTTCCAACACCTTCGCCACATTCCTGGAAGAACAATACTTTGGTTTGGGCGGTTTTGCTCTAATTATTTATTTCATGAATTTAGAAACAATAGGCGGTTCACCGAGTGGCACAGAATCCATAGGATCATGTGTTTGTGAAATGACAGATATGTAGACTGCAATTGTGCGATACTCCAGGTCTTTCTCTTTCAACAAACCAGCTAGGAATGAAAGGACTGAAGTTACAGGTGCTGAAAAGGGACACCACCCACGCATGGTACACCATTCAGCCCAAGCTCTCCAAAAGCCAGCATATCTCTTCTTAATGGACCTCACTCCATGAAGATAGGAGGATCTCGATAACGTCTGGCGAAAATCCTGCTGTTTTAAAACGTCTCCAGATACTGGCCATACCGCCAGGTTCACTGTTTTCCGAAATATCTGGGAATCCAATGTCCATTCCACACTGGGGTTGAATTGATCGACGAGATGCCGTGTCGGCATCGACATTGAGAATTCCTGGAATATGTGTTGCTATCACCCAAGATCTGATCTTGAGGACATTAGACCAGAGTTCCAGTGCTATTGCTGACAGAGACGGTGAGTTAGTGAGTGTGTGTCCCCCTCTTGTTGATATATGCCACCGCTGTGGTGTTGTCGATGCGCAGGTGGATACGAGCCGGTGGTGATCTCCGATTCCTCGTGAAAGCTTGGATTGCAAGATATGCTGCTTTGAGCTCCAGCGCATTGATATGTTACTGTGACTCCTCTGCGCTCCAGCGTCCCCTAATGGAGGTGTTGCCTGCTGTTGCCCCCGAGACCAAAAGGGATGCATCGGTGTGGATGACCAAATACACACGGATGCATCCGTTTTGGGCTGATAGCAGTCGACGCCTTTCTCCAAGGTGGGCACCTGAGGTGTTGAGTATTGATGTTCCGGGGTTCCTGGGACAACCACAACTCCACATCCTTCATGGCCTCTCGTGACTGTTTCGATTCCTTGCAACCATATCTTAGGTCACAGCTGAATGAACCCTCTGAAGTAATGAAGAGGAGCCAGCCAAATGCCATTCTGAGCTGCATGGCTCATGCGTCCCAGGAGTGCTGCCAACTCCGGTAGTATACTCTTGCCTTTGGTACGTAGCTGGAATGCTCCCTGTTGGATGAGATCCAGCTTCTCTGTCGACAAGGACAGGGATATAGTGACAGTGTTGTGCATTGTTCCCAAGAAAATAAGCTGCTAAGCTGCTGAGATGGGAACTGAGAACATTTGTTCAGGTTGATTAGCAATCCCAGTCCCTCGAGAAGGCTCACAACCCTCCTGAAGATAGATTGTAGAACACTGGGATCCTGATGTAAGATGAGAATGTCGTCTAGGTAAATGACAATTCGTATTCCAAAACTCCAGCTATGGGCTATGACTGGAGTCATTAGTCTGTCTGGTGAAGGCTCGAGGGGCTGATTTTAGTCCGATCGAGACAATGAGACATTGGAACTCGAATGTCTTCCCGTTGAACACAAAGCGTAGGAATCTGCGGTACTCTGGGTGAACTGGAACTGAATAATATGCGTCCTTGAGATCGAGTTTCATCATGTAACCGTTCGGTTGTATCAAAGAACAAACTACTGGAAGACCATCCATTTTGAACGGTCTTTCTTCGACAAATCTGCTCAAGGGTTTCAGGTTGATAATTGGTCGATATTCGCCCTCGAACTGGACTTTCTCCACTAGAAATAGGGAGGAAATGAATTGATTCTCGGCTGGCTGAACCACCTTGATTGCTGCTTTCTTGAAAAGTGTCTGGATAGCATTTTCCATGCGCTTCTTTTGAATACTGGACCTGGTTGTTGTGATTCTTGGTACATAAAAGGAATTTTGTAACCTACAACTGTTTTCCAGTTGTCTAAAAAATAACTAAACGGCCAGATGGAGTATTTGCACAATGGATATGTCTTAAGACTGGAAACGGATAGTCATAAATGACCGGATCCGTGGGAAGCTGACTGGTTTGTCGGATTGGAAGGCGTGGACGCTTGGCCTGGGAATGGCTAAATCGAAAACGCAACCATGCTGCTGCCACGAAAGGGCTGATACCTAGGCTGGTGGGCAGGACGACTGAACTGCAGGTTTACAAGTAAGAGTATTAATCACTTTATTAGTAGTGGAGGAGTGGTCATGCTTATCCTTGATCTACACATGGAATTTATCTGGGAACAGATGCTTGTCGGTTGGAATCCCTTCCTTTAGAGTACGTTTTCCAATGTCGGTGAGAAATTCATTAAACGTCTCTGGCGCCAATTGTTTAGATGTGCATTCCTCAACATAACCAGTGCATCATCAAGGTAGTTCTTGATAGAGACAGGGTCTGGGCCATCTTCCTCATCTCCAGGACCATCCAAGCCTATTAGGGCCGCTAACAAAGTGCGGGCCACCATAACAAAGGGGGCTGTTGATCTGCCAAACCTTCATCGAAGGCCAAAACATCTTTGGTTTTCAAATGGCCATGATGTTTACGCAAAGCTTCCTTCATGCCAGCCTCTAATTTAGGGGCTATCAAAAAGGAGTCAGTATCCTTTATGGTGAGATATGATTGGGCTAGTTCGAGCCACTTTTCTCTTGAAAGGGCAGTTGAAAATGCTTTTCGCCGGAAAGTTCAATGAGATTATCAGTAATGGTAGTTGATCATGACGACTCTTTACTATCAAATCCTTCACTTCCCGAAAGGGGGTGGAGGTGGTTCAGGCGTGCTCTTCCGTTGTAGTTGGGGACCCTGGTTGACAATTTGCTGGAGTTGAAAACTCCAAAACTGGGACAGCACAATATCTGATTTAAAGGATTTTGTTTTAAGCCATTTAAAACTTACGGGGAAATGATCATCACCTGGTGGTGAAGTTAAAGCATTTACTAGTGATACACTAGTTCTAAAATGGCATGGTCAGACCAACAACCATTTGTTGGTTTACCATGCCATTTTCACTGTTTCTGGAAGTTCGACTGAAGCGAACTAACTCAGACACTAACATCAGTATGTAATAAAGCTGAAGAAAAACAAAACAACAATGCTGCAATTCGTCAGGCTTCGCCGATCAATGACGGTAAAGATAAATTGAGTGTCGATCTCAGTTCTGCCTGTACTGAAAATCAAACAGTGCGTGCTGTATGTTATTAGTATGTAGTAAGGACGATAAGACCTACGAAGATAAATTTGCTAGCATCGAGAATCAATTACTTAATATCCTGGAGTCAAAGTTTCTGGATAAATCTGTTTGAATAGTATGATACTGCTTAGACAATGTCAATGACGCTGAATGTATGAATTCATTAAGAAGAGAGAACGCATGCCAAGTCTTGAAGAAGAAAACGAAGTCTTAAAGAATAGCTTAAATACGGCGAAATTTGCTTTATCTGATTTGAGTACGAAAGTTAAAAACCACGAGAACGAAAAAGCCAGCTTAACTACGACCTTCAAGATCTTGTATTCTGATTTTCATCAAGCTCATGAAGCTTACTTTAAACAACAAGAGCTGCCTATATTGTAGTTGAAAACAAAACACACACAAATGATACAGCTGATGAATTTATTCTCATTCCCGGCGATAACCAGTTTAATGCTGATAACCAAGAGCGCCCAATAAAGAATAAAAAATCTAAGTCTACTCAGAAAGATAACGAAATAAATCAGGATGAGAAGCAACCGTCAATGCAAACTATTCTGCAGATGCTCGATGTAGCGATAAAAGTCAATTACCCACGAATAAAGCACTGCCGTAATCGGAGACTCGATTATTAAAAATATTCAAAGTTGGCGTCTCCGGCTCAGATTGCAATAATCATGTTGTTGTTAAAGGTTTTGGAGGAACAAACTGTTCTGACAGGGAAGATTTGATTTGAAATCTGTAATTTGAAAACAACCTTCAAACATAATTTTTCATGTTGGAACAAACGATTTAAACAAAAATACCTCGCCAGATCAAATACTGTAGCACAGGGAATTATCAATTTGGGAATCCAGATTAAACAGGACTCCCCTCAAACAAACATTACCGCCTATATCAGAAATTTTACCTCGAACTGACAAGTCAAATCTACGCGACCAAAATAAATTGCGACCAAAATATATGCGGTTAACCACAAATCCATTAACGCAACCTGTCTGAATTCAAGAGGGCTACACTTGAACAAGAAAGGTACTGCCATCATCAATTTCTTCTTATATTATTAACCATTGTCATTGATTAGTAGCGGCGGATATGTCTAATCAAAACGTTTCTAATGTTAGTAAACACAATCTTAATACGCATAAACAAACTGATTTCAACCCATACCGGCTTCAAAATTGCTATTCTAAACACTGCAAGTTTACCAAAGCATATCGATGATCACTAAGATTAAACATGCAAAATTGCAAAATCAATATTTAGATATACTAGTGCCGGAGTCTAAACTCGCCTGGATTAAACAATTAGTAATTTTATTTTTTTTATATATTCGCCCAAATTACATTAATATATATATATATATACAAATAAATCGTAAAATAGAAACTATTTACATAGGGCTAGGAACCTTCTAGAAACCATAAGGCTTTTATTTAAGGTCCCTAGTTACAACTTTAGATTAGATTAAAATATAGTTACCTTTTAATAATAAAGGATACAAGTTCAAACGTTTTCAGAGAAAGTAGTGATATATATATATATATATATATATATATATATATATATATATATATATATATATATATATATATATATATATATATATATATATATATATATATATATATATATATATATATATATATATGAAACGAGGAAACTGTTAGATAAAATAAACTATATTACAACAATTTTAGTTTTAATTTTACTTTGAGTGGAGAGTTCTATTATTATTTTTATCAGGATCGATGAAGAAAATATTTTTTGATTGTCGACTTGAATATTGGAAAAGATCTAATTTCTTTATAGATTTTATAGATCGTTTCTTTATAGATCATTTTCTACACATCGATTCCTTTATTAGCAAGTGTGTGTTTTTCATAATTTGTTCTATTACATTTTTTGTGTAGCAATGATGCGTTTCTTGTGTTATAATTATGGATATCTTTGTTACTCAAAAAATAATTAATAAATTAAAAATCTCGGGAAGATTTCGCAAATGAAAATATCGGAACATAAACAAACTTGTCAAATATTCATTTAATTTGTACAAGTTTAGTATTTTCAAATCATTAAAAATTGGTTCAGTGTGGTCAATATACGATTTGAATGTCATTAATCGGATTGTCTTCTTTTGGATATTCACTAGTTTTTGAATGTGAGATTTATAGGCATTTCCCCAAATTAAATTACCGTAAGTGAGATATGGATAGACTAATGCATAATAGATCAGCTTTAAGTTAATTCTGAAATATCAATTGATAAATATACTTTAGTCTTTAGTCAGGAACGGTCGATCACGATACGGAGGCGGCGTAGCTATGTATATCCGTAATTGAACTAGTTTTAAT